TGGTGACATTACCAAAAAAACAATTTATTGTGTAATTGCAACTTCATTTTATATTGCTACTTACCAAACGTGTGTAACCAACTAAATTTGCGTTATTAACTCAAACAGTTAACGACATTTTGCTTATTTAATCAAATAAATATTACATTTTGCCAGTTTAACAAAAGTATCCAATGAAAACTAGCTATTTGTAAATAATTCTCTTTTTTGGTTACCATTACTATAACATTTTTCTCAGTGGAGTCTCGCATAATTTCTGCTCTGCAAATCTCGAGTTTGCTATAATCATCAATTAATATCAAAAGGTCAAGTTAAGTAAATATTTCGGCAAGACTTTCCGCGTTGGAGAATTTGATAGAACATAATTTTATCATTCGCGTTCAGTAAATATCTAGTAAAACGTATGATAATTCGAAATTTATGTACTTTGTTCTTTACTCTTCTCTGATACAAAATATGATCTCCAGTGAAGATGACACGCCAACAGTATCACGTGTCACATCTATGTCGAGCACAACAAAGTTTCTAAAGTATTACCGAATGTAGATCAGGAACCACAACATGCAGAAATATCATTGCTTAACAGAATGTTCTAAATTAGTTCGTGAATAGCGTGGAATATAAGAATACTACACGAATTTACTTTTCATCATAGCAGTGTTTTATTTAGTACACTTCTTGTTGTTATAAATTTTATCATTTCTACATAATAATCTCTTATACCTGTATCTTTGTGTGCTACACATAAAATCGACAATAATTTTACTGAAATTTGATGTCAAAATACAAAAACGCTAATTATTTTCGGGAAATGACATTAATTTCGTTCAGACAACACAATCGTGTGTTAATAATGTAATTCTCTTTGTCTGAGATATTGGCTTTTGAGATTTAGTTCGATAACTATATCGAGATAATCCTGGACAATCAAGATTACATTATTACAGATTATAATAATTTGTGCGACAATTCTTGTGCCCGACAACATAAACACAAAAGGCTCCAACAATAGATATATATGTATATAAACTCTCTAAAAAGTTTGTTTTTTCTATGAGACGTATAAATTGCAGACGTATAATAGTAGAAGTATGCAATATATACGTCTCATAGAAAAAACAAATTTCTTAAGGAAATAGAGAAGAGAAGACGTGAAGAAACGAGAAGAAGAGAGAAAGAAAAAAGGGAGACAGACGGAGAAAGAGAAACTAACGCATGACAAGAATCTTAGAATCGATGCGATGACCAGTTGAGAGAGAGATTGATTGATTGATTGAAGCTTCATTTATTATGCGCTCTGGGAATAACATTCCCCTCAAGCGCAGAAAAACAAAGAAAACTATTTACATAAAATCAGAGACTATTTACATAAACAAACAGAGAAAAGAAACAAAATAAAAATAAAAATAATAAAAATAAAAATACAAATAAAAATAAAATAAAAATAAAAATAAAAATAATAAAAGTAAAGAGTAAAAATGTGATAATAATTGAGAAATAATGAATAATGTATAAAGAAATCAAATAATAACAATAGATACAAAAATAAAATAAAATCAGAAATTGAGACAAAGAGAAGTGAGTTAAGCATTTACATACTGAAGAGAAATTATACAGTGTTTGATAATAAATAAATAAAAAGTTTACTGTAGAAAACACAGTAGGGTGCCCTGCGAATATCTGCCGGTATAGCATTCCAGATGTCAACACATACACATCTGAACGAGCGTCTATAAGATTCAGTTCGACTAAGAGGGAGAACCAAGTTCTCTTGAGTAGTTCGAGTATTACGCAGACAGTTGTCTCGTCTAAAAGTTAGTGAGTCGAACAGTACCTACGGACGTTGAGTATCTATAATTTTGAATACAAGGCATCCAATAAAGAATTCTCTCCTAGATTTAATCTTGAGCCAATTTAGTTTATTATAAAAGGGCGTAATATGCTCATACCACTTCACTTGGTAGATGAATCTAACACAGGAGTTGAGAGAGAGAGAGAGAGAGAGAGAGAGAGAGAGAGAGAGAGAGAGAGAGAGAGAGAGAGAGAGAGAGAGAGAGAGAGAG